TATTAATCGACAGCATTGATTATCTGAAAACTTAATACTCGTAGTTAAATCATTATGAGATACACAAACTCCCATAATAATTAAAGCTCGACTATAATGTTCAAGTCTTCAATTAGAACGTTCTACTATGTCCTTGATCTTCATTAGAATGTGAGCAATTCTTGGATGATTTTCTTCCAGCACGCTCTTTAAGGTAGTCAATTTCTCCTGACAAAAATTCAAACCTTGCACATAGTCACCCTTTTTCATGTATGATTGAGCAATTTGATTTAAATTCTTCTTAAGATCTGGATGATCATGAAGTAAAATCTTTTCGTTCATCTCCAATGCAGAATGATAATATTGAAGTGCACGATCATATTCTAATTTATTTTTATATACATCATCAATGTTCCACAGAGTGGATGCAACATATGGATGCTGATAGGGAAAAGTCTTTGATACATTTCATATGCTTTCATCATGTAATCTAATGCAAAATTATATTCTTTGTTTAGATTATACACCATACCTATACATATCATAGTATGAGCTTTATTGGCATGATCATTTGGATAATTTTTCTCACCAATAGCTAGAACTTTTTTATAATAATCCATTGCTTTATCATATTCACCTTTTTGTTTATGAATGAAACCAAGATTAGGCAAAGAGTTTGCTATGTGAATGTCATCACTAAAAAACCGTAATCGGCGTATTTCGTATGCATATGTATAGTTTTCTAATGCCATATTCAATTTTCCTTGTTCAGCAAAAATATTAGCAATTTGGTCATAAACATTAGGAACATCTGGATGATCTATGGGTAATGCTTTTAATAACATATTAAAGTATTTTTCTGCTTTATCAATCTGTCCCATCTCATTGAAAAGAAGAGCTCCAAATAAAATACTTGGGCTGATATCGTCTATTTCTTGTTTGATCGAATTAATATATTCTTGAAGATTTTTCGAACCATCATCCGTTGCTGTCATTCCAATTTTCCATAGTCGTAGATGTGGATCTAACTGGACATTGTCTATCTTAAATACAGCTCCAATACTAAACAAGACTTCTTGTTCACCTTGTATTCGACCGCATTTATCCACATCAGCAAAGATAGTATTTTCAAGATTAGGATGAGCTTTTATTTCAAATAAAACTGTTTTCATTTCATCTGTATCGTTATAGCCTGCTATAAACCCTTGAGCTACGCCCATATCACGGCTGGTCGAAAAAAAAACCATTTATTGATATAAGAACACCAACATTGGCTTTTAATTGATTAAATTCTTCCGTTGATATCTGTTGTCCTCGATAAAGTGTGAATGTTTCAGTATCAATCGCTTTTCTTTTACTTTCTTGTTCTAGTTGTGAACATAAATCAATAATATAAAATCGAAATAAATATAGTAAATCAATATTTTCTGTTCTTAAAGCCTTGTTAAGAAGTCTGTAAACAAAGGAATCACAAGTATATCATTCAATTGCCTTATCTGATGTATAGCTATTACGAAATAATTCAATCTTCTTGAGTTCGACTTGATTTGTTCGATAATAATCTGAACATTTATTCAGCATATCATGCTTAGCATCTTCTGTTTGGGGCATTTGTTTTAGAGTATCGATTAATAGTTGATTCCACAAGAACGATGCTGAATCTTTAGATAAATCTCGAGTTGTCTTTTGTCCTTGTTGATCAAATAGACTAAATGCAGGCAGATGTTTCGAAACCAAGTGAATGGCGTTTTCGACTGATTTGATTAGGACATTTTGATCTGTATATATTCCAATAATTTAAATGTATTTCACGCAGAATT